GTTTCTTGTTATATAGCTCGTTGCGTTTCTTGCCGTTATCATATTACCTTTGATCTTGACGATAGTGTATGGATGTTTGTTGTACGGTGAGGAAAGTTTATTGACGCGTTTTTGACGAACGAGAACAGTGTCACCAACTTGAAAGCTGTGTGGTTTTGCTTTGGCTGCGGTATCAGCATACACTTTCATCTTTTCCTTCTTTTTGAGATCGATATCGGCGAATTGGGATCGTGATGGTGACGTGGGGACTACTTCCGGTAACTTGACGGCTAATTTTCGTCCAAAGAGGAGCTCCGCAGGGGAAATTCCTGTGGTGGAATGTGGCGTTGCACGGTAGTTTCGGAGGAAAAGAAACAGTTCTTGCTTCCAATTCTTGTTTTCGAGGTGGGCAGCGCGGAGGGTTTTCTGAATTGTTCGCATGAAACGTTCAGACTCAGAATTGGCTTTGGGCCACTCTGGAGTGATCTTTCGGTGGTGAAACCCCATATATTGCGCGAACTGGGCGAAAGAGTGACTTTGAAATGGAGGTCCGTTGTCAGACTTGATTTCTCTGGGAATGCCATGCGTGGATAGAATGCGGTCGAGTTTCGGGATGACGGTATTTGCAGAGGTGGAGCGAACAATTTCAACCTCGGGATAGCGCGAGTATTCGTCGATTACCACGAAGAGCATATCGCCTGAGGGAAGAGGGCCACAGAAATCGACAGAGAGTTGTTGCCAAGGGGCCTGTGGTAACTCGGTCATGCGTAGGGGTTCAAATGGCTGTTGAACGACTGTTGCCTGACAGGCGAGACAATTGTCAATTAGCTTTTTCATAAGCCCATCAATTCCAGGAAACCAAATCTTTTCGCGGAGCAGCTGTTTGGTTTTGGTAAGACCTTGATGACCTTCGTGGGCGATGTGAAGAGCACGTTGACGAAGGGCATGTGGGAGGATGAGACGGTGAGAGCGAAGAACGAGGTCATGATCAGTAGACACAGTCAGTTCGTCACGAATTTGGTGGAAAGCCTTGAGATCGTGGAGGTTGACACGGGGGTCTGGTGTGGAAAGAACAGAGTGCCAGGAATTGTTGTGGAGGGCATCGCTGACGCATTGCAGAGTGGGGTCAACACGGGTAAATTGTTTAACTTCATCAACGGTCATAGCTTTGGGAGTGGTATAATTGGCTAGGAACGAAATGTACTCTTCGGCTTGTGTCGATGCAGTGGAAGAATGTGTTGTGGCAAGAGGATGACGGGACAGGTAATCGGCGGGGTTGGTCTTGCCAGGAGAATACGAAATGGTAAAGTGATAGGGTTGAAGCTTGAGAGCCCAGCGTTCTAATCTGGCGTTGGAACGAGCAGAGGGATTGGAAAAAATCCGTTCCAAAGGTTTGTGGTCAGTGATGATGGAAAATTTGGTGCCATAAATGTAAAGATGAAAGTGGTGGCAAGCGAAAAGAACACCCAGGGCTTCACGTTCGGTTTGGGAATACCGCTGTTCAACTGGGGTAAGGGAACGACTTGCATAGGCGACGATGCGTTGGTCTTGACAAAAGATAGCACCAAGGCCAACAGGGCTGGCATCGACAATGATGGTGGCTTCTTTGTGAGGGTTGAAATACGCAAGGACAGTGTCACTAGTCAGAAGGTCTTTGAGCTGATCAAAAGCTTGTTGGTGCTGGGAGGTCCACGTCCAGGGTTGATCAGATTTGGTGAGTGCTCGGAGAGGGTCGGTGATGGAGGAATAATTAGGAATGAAGCGGGAACAGTAGTTGGTCATGCCGAGAAAACTACGAACTTCGTGAGCATTGGTAGGGAGGCTGGTATTGCGAATTGCAGAGACTTTCTTGGGGTCTGGGGATACACCATTGCCCGAAAATACGTAACCGAAAAATTCAATACTGGATTTGTTATACTCGCATTTGTCAATATTCAAAGTCAGATTTTTCGATCGCAAACGTTCGAAAACAGCATGAAGTGCTTTGTCATGGGCCGCCTGATCACGTCCAAAAATGATGATGTCGTCGCTTACGTTTCGTACACCGTCAATACCGCTGAGAACTTGTTGAATTGCGTTTTGGAACACCTCAGCAGCAGAAGACGTACCAAAGTTCAGGCGTGTATATCTTCGCAGTCCTTTATGCGTTGAAAACGTAGTGATGTAACGACTCTCGGGCGCGAGTTCGAGCTGGTGATAACCTGAGTTTAAATCGAGTTTGGAAAAAACGGTCGCACCATTGAGATCGTGAATGAGGTCATCGATTGTTGGGGTGATATGACGTTCGCGAAGAATCGCACGATTGGGGTGACGCATGTCAACACAAATGCGAATCTTGTCAGGTTTCTTTGGTTTCGGTGTGACGACGAGAGGGGACACCCACGGCGTTGGGCCATCCACTGGTTCAATAATACCTTGGCGTTCAAGCTTGTCAAGTTCGGTTTCGAGTTTTTTCCGAAGATGGAACGGAATACGCCGATGCGGTTGAGTTACTAGTGGGACAGAATTATCAATATGCAAATGCACTTGAAAGTCTTTCATTTTGCCAATACCCGTAAAGAGATCAGGGTACTCAGAGCGGACGTGTGTGCTTGTAGATGGTGAAGACAGGTTTGAGGTGTCGACTGACGCGGTGGTTTGAGCGATGACAGAAATGAGTTTTAATTCTGTCGCGGTTTTGTAGCTTAATAGGCAACCAGATGACCCTTGAATGACGTAGATGGTGGCGGGAACGATGCGAAATTTCGATTCAACGTGGGTAGTAAATGTCCCGAGAACAGGTAAAGGTGTTGTATTGCCGTAACTGTATATCTTGGTTGAGGAAGGTGAAAGTGGGATCTGTTTGTTTTTAAGCGATTTGATGATGGTGTGATAAGCGTTCTCATCAATCACATTAATACTGGCGCCAGAATCTATCAACACTTGAAGTGGAACATCCGCAATCATGACTTTAGCCTTTGGGGTAGTTACGTCACGGACTTGCGAAATAGTTGCATTGGTTAACGCAACGGGAGGGCCAGAGAGGACTGTAAAAAGATACTCATCGTCAGAGCTTGAGGGATTAAGGGGATCTTGACTGCGATCTTGATTTTGATTGGCGGAAAGGTGACGAATCTGGCGTGGAGCTGACTGGCGTGGAAATGGGCGATGAGGTAACCTGCGATCAGGCTCTGAGGTGAGAGGGTACAGGTCGTTGCGCTGTTGCTGACGGGGGGAGCGACGTTGGCCAACTGAGTGATTTGGAGGTTTCGAACGACAACAACGAGCAAAATGATTCATTTTTCCGCACGAACGACATTGACAACCGCGGGCAGGACAGCTATCTTGTCCTTGTGGATGTGGATAGGCATTGCCGCAGTGTCCACACGTAGATGTTGGGCGAGGATATTGTTGTGAAGAGGGGAAATTACCCGAGGACGATTGAGAAGGCAAAGATGCCCGAGTATAGTTCAGTTCTTCGGCGTCAAAAGGTGCGACTGTCTGCGATTCAATCCCAGAAGCTTGTTTTTCCGATATTTCCATCGCGCGGCCCAAATCAAGAAGGCTTTTGAGGATAAGAGACGACTCACGTAACGCGCGTCGACGAAGGCGCGATGAGGAGCAGCTGAGAATTATTTGGGACTTGATTTCTTTGTCAATAGAATCAAATTCACAAGTAGAGGCAAGTTGTCGTAAGCCAGTGGCGAACTGATCTAGCGTTTCAGTCGGTAGTGTTGACGAGCTTGGCGAAAAAGATACGTTTCGTAGTCGATGTTGCGCTGCGGTGTAAAATGTTCGGTGAGTCGATCGATTGCCTTGTCATAATCTTTCGCTTCGCCAGTGTCTGTCAGAGTTTCAAAAATGTCAAATGCCGAGGGTCCAATGTAGTGCAAAAGAAGAGCTCGTTTTCGGGTGGCATCGGTGATATTCATTGCAAGAAGGAAATTATTAAAACGTTTAGTCCACTTGTCCCATCGTTGCCCGGTCGTGGTGGCGTCGTCATCCACATTGAATGGTGGAAATGGTGGCAGGGCAGAGGCCAATGCACTAATGAAAAAAACTGTTTAATCCTCGTCGCCAATGTAATATTCTTATAATATAGATTGTAGTTCAAAGCGAGACTTGTTTGCTTGGTGATTATATTGATACTGACTCTTATTACCATGTAATATAAAGCTATATACAAATTACGTCATGCATGCATATGACGTCACATCATTACAGGTTCGAGGTTTGCCTAGGGGGGTCCGGGGGCATGCCCCCCAGGAAAATTTTTGAATTTAGAGTCTCTGAAATGCCATTTCCTTGACTTTGGGGGAAGACTTGACAGAAATCTGATGGTCAGAAAACGGCATTATAACGTGTCGAAATTTGAAATTTGGTTAGAATTTAGTAGTAGTACTTCAAGCGATTAATCTAATCCCAATTCTATTCTCTACTGATCTAGTGATCTGAATACATTTACAACTTTCACACCCACTTTCAAAATTCGCCGCCCCCTTTTCATTTTTGCGCCCCCCAAGAATTGCCAGCTGGGGGGGCCGTGGCCCCCCGGCCCCCCTGTCAGCACGCCACTGATTACTAATGGCGTTACCATGCACGTTTCATATTCCGCTTACCAGCCAATCTCATCCAAATACAATACCAAACAATCTCGTACCCAGAGCCAAAGAATCAATTGGTACGAAATTGGTCGGCATATATAGCGTCAACCTCGTACCCAGAGGCTACTTTCTCTCACACTCCGTTGCCACGGCCACCTGCTGACCAATTCGGAGTTTTGACTGCGCATGTGCATATGAAAGTATTCAAATGAACGTTCAATCATTACTCAAAGAACAATTAAGCTTCTGCGTGATTGACTCGCAAAGATTTTAGAAACTGATATTAATACTTTCTTTATTCTGCTTTACACAGTGGGCAAAATGTGGCCGGAACTAAAAAGGACAGTTTAGATTTCCTCTTCTGAAAAGGGGGGTGAGATTTATTTAGTTGACGGATTAAGGAGGCTTGATACAAATTTAAACGTATCACCCTAAGATAGTTCAGTCTATCTGTCCAACATCAATTGCGTGCTGTAAGTCGTATAGACTAAAACAGCTAGGTATATTGTTTTTTTTAGAATGATTTATTATAACATGTAATGTTTAGTAGTTTTTCATTTTGTGTAGCTCTCTATTTGGTAAGTATTGCCTAAATCATTGTATTTTATTATCATTTGTACAATGTAATTGATTCAATACTGTAATCTGATCATTTAACTTGACGGCAAGAAGGGAACACAAGAAATATATCATTGGTCAAGGCCAACCTCGTCCCCAGGGCCTTCACGAAGTCAGCTCAAAGGCCCTGGGGACGAGGTTGGGTCAAGGCTTATTAATATTTTTAGTGTCTGCAAGCAAAATGCATAGCTTCAAAATGTGCCTGTAAAAATGAATCATTTTTAAGGTTTCGGGAGCTAAATTTTGTATAATATTTCGGGAGTTAAATATTTTAAAATGTACATACCTGCGCATATTCGAAAGGTGCCTGCGACTGACGCTCGTGCGTTTTTTTACATATACAATTTCCGAATTTCCTGCTTGGCAATTGTGTGGAACACGACGCCGGGAGGGCGGATATCAATACGGAAAATGACTGGATACCAAATTGGAAAACTTTTTATATTTTTTTAATAATATAGCACAAAGAAACATAAAGAAAGAAATTTCCTGTGTTGACATTGAGTTATGCCAACACGGCTGTTAGCCAATCAGCGTTCAGAATTTACAAATGCTATATTATAATATATTTTGTTTATAAAGTTGATATTGGCTTTTTATCTGCACGTATGTGAACTAGACAGTTACTGTAGCAACACCGCGGAAAAACGTCTGCGCATGCACCAAATTATGAAAATATGGCGGGGAATTTGAACATCAATTTCTAAAACAAAAACATGCTTATTAATTGGTCAAAAATTAGTAAAACAAACGAGAAAATATAGCAAATGGGTAGACTAGACATTAATTGAAAGCGTCCTGGCATTGAAAGTATGGAATGAAATATAATTCATGTAAAAAGTTGTTGATTTTAACGGACACGACTTCGAAAATTTTTGCAGAATTATTCAAAACAAAAATTCAAACTAAAAAGTTAAGAAAACTCTCGAAAAGTTAAGCTTTTTAACCCACTCAAATTGTAGAGTAAATCCTAAAGTTTAATTATTGTGAACACGAAAATTTTTTATATTTGGCGACATAGTTTTTTTTAAAGAAATGTATCTCAAACGAAAATTCGGAAATTGTCGTTGCTTAGTTGATAAACAAAATGTTTCAGACGATAAATTTGTCAACAATCACCTGTAGTTCACGTTCTTGTACAATACAATTTCTTGAACCTTCTGGCTGTATTTATTCCTAGTTTTTAGAATGACATGTTAATTTTTACGCTCGAAATCTGGCTGTATAAGACACACAGTGAAGTGACTCCTTTTTACCGCCATTTTGAGCTTTCGGAAACGTTCGGAACAGCTTCTCATCAAGTTCGCAATACTATTACAGGTAAGGTTGATGCATGCGCAGACGTTTTTCCGCGGTGTTTACTGTAGCACACTACAGTAAATTTGCTTGTTTAATGATAAAGTACAGCTCGACATGTTTACGTATTTAACTAAATCATTCTCATTATTTTGTCGTGAGCTCACAAATGAATTACATCGTTTCAAGAAACGACACGCGCTAACATGTTACCAGTATAGGAGTTCCCCTAATCGCTATTCGAAAAGCAGAAAATGTATGGTCAAGTAAATTTTTTAGGGTGATGCTGGACTTATCTAGGAGCACCGCTTTGTAAAGACATCCGCCCCTGTAAAGCTCTACGTTCAAAAAAGTGCTATTCATAGAATTGATATTTACTTCATCGATATTATTACGAATGTGATTATGACAAGCATTTTTTAATCATTGGCGAAAAAATCATTTTGAAAAGTTTAAAAAAGCAGCCTAAAATAAATGTCAAGATTTAATACAGATCAACAGCTTTAACATCAAATCATCATTAGTAAAATCAACCAATTATTAAAGATATATTACAGTAACATCGTCGGTCACTACCTATATGTGAACTGGCTTTGTGATCGGTTGATTACGAGAACTATAGAAATTATATTTCTAAAGAACGAATCATAAACACTGGTCACTTTTGTGATAGAAAGTCAATTACAAAACGTGTTCATATTAGTTTAAAGATAAAGAGCAGAGCCCAGCAAATAACTTTAAAGCCAAACATAATAACATGGGATCTTCTTATATCCGTGAAAGCCTATTAATTTCTCAACTTAACCCTGTCCTTAATGCTAATATTAGATCTAGCCCTGCGCACATCCATCGTTAATTTCTCAACTTAACCCTGTCCTTAATGCTAATATTAGATCTATAGCCTACTGCGCGCATCCAATCTAAATCTATTATAACCATTATGTAATAATTCTTAAGTTCTATAATCTCAACAGATAATTTGTAAATACTAATATCATGTGCATAATAAATCTTTCTTTCTTTCTTTCTTTCTGAGTTATTTTAGTTATGTAATATTAACCTTAACTATATATACTAACCATGCACTTAACATTAATCTTCACTTATTAACTAGTCACTGATAAGTTATTTTGGTTATGTAATATTAACCTTAACTATATATACTAACCATGCACTTAACATTAATCTTCACTTATTAACTAGTGACTGATAAGTTGTTTCCTTTCTTTCTATTCATTTGTTCTTTCAAACTTTGTAACCGTTTTGTAATATTAAACCATTATTTTGTAAATATATATACCATACCCTGTAAATTCGAGATTGCTCTGACCATGTTGTATTGTAAACGACGAAACGTTAACTAATATTTTTTTTACTTTTATTATGTTTGGATTTAAAGTTATTTGCTGGGCTCTGCTCTTTATCTTTAAACTAAGATTTCCGCCTGGTGTATTAATTGCTACAGTGTTCATATTAGGTAGGTATTTAGCGACTATATCCCAGTCTCCTCTTTAACTTTGGAAACTAATTATATATAGTTCACTTATCTTGTATAAATGCAGTATTATCAGCGCAAAATTGATCAATTTCAACCACGACATCGCCATATCTGGCATGACCAGCCTGAGCAGGTTGAGGTGCCTGAACATCAGGTTTACGATCTGATGCGAGTTGTGGGTTGCGGGCCAAGGTAAGGGCGAGAAACCACCTGGCACGGGACTGAGCTGAAAATGTCCATTTTCGTACCCTGTTCATTCCTATGTAATAACCAAATATGCTATGAAGGGAGGCAATTTTAACAGAAAGGGGGGGGGGGGGGCTTGGTATATTTTTCGCTTTAATAAAAAACATTTAAGGTAAATACGTACCTAATGTTTGCACGTTTCGTGGATTGTTTTCTGTAACAAAAGTGATCACAGTCAACGAATGGACTTTTCACCTTTTGACTAAAATTTAGATCTCAACAAGTCTAGACAAAAATTTCATCACAACTTGAAAGAGCATCACAAAATTAGTAATATTCCAAAGTTTCGTTGCGAAATGTTGTAAATTGCGGATAATATAGCCTTGCGAAGTTTGTAATTTTCAGTCATATTGTATTACGCGCGGGAAATACATACCTCTTTCAGAAAAAGGGTATGTATTTCCCGCGCGTAACACAATATGACTGAAAATTGCAAACTTCGCAAGGCTATATTATCCGCATTTTACAACATTTCGCAACGAAACTTTCGAATATTACTAATTTTGTGATGCTCTTTCAAGCTGTGATGAAATTTTTGTCTAGACTTGTTGAGATCAAAATTTTAGTCAAAAGGTGAAAGGTCCATTGCACTTTAAAAAGATGATTTCTTATAATAATTGGACAGGGGAGCTTGTTTAGGGAGGGCTTATTTGAAGATTTGCTGAGGCGCTCACGTTACGATTCACCATTGGCTTCATTTTTTGTATCAATGATCATGCACGTCGCGCTTTTAGACCGACTGATAGGAGGGTTACCATAGCAAGTGCATTACCATCATTGGGTAATATTGGGAAGTGCTGTCTATTAATGTGAATCGAAACATGCCGAACAGTGCCGTCTTCCAGGTGTTCTGACGGTGAGCAAAAGGACTGGGACTAGCAACAGAATAGAAATCCAGTTTTGTACCTTTAATCACTTGTCACGCCCTGATTCTTTTGTGAAACTGTTTGAAACTTCGTGTCTGTGTCTTGTACAGGGAAATGAATGTCTGGGACAAATTTGAGATAGAAATCTAATACCGTTGATGAGATATTGAGTAATGTTAAACAAGAAATGGATTTCTATTTTACAACTAGTGCCAGGCCTTTCCCGAGTTCCGAGATCGCCTGGTTGTATTGTCAGCTTTTTATAGACTGCCAAAAAATTCTGAGACTGGCTAATAATAGATTGATTTTAGCAGTAATAGGTGCAGGAATGTAGTCACATTCATGAATGTTTTGACAAGGAAACAAGACACTTTGGGGCGAGAAGAAGCATCTGCGGTTTTGGTAATAAATTTATAAAATTCTGCAATTTAGAAATTCGTACTCTCAATGAATCAACACTTACGTGTTTCATCGACCAGCATTTGACAGAAAACTCGAAGGACTGGGTTTCTATAAGCTGTTTCCACGTGAAGATAACAGATGTACGCATTGAAACCTTTAAAAAAGTTATATATAGATACAGTACAAACCATGTATATACTCTCATAATTGGTGTGTTAGTATACGCATACGGGGGCTGATGCTTTCCTGGGGAAGGAGCAGTTGGATATAGTTTTGATGCTGTAAGAAAATCAGAGGGTGGGGGTGGTCTAGAACCCATTTCCCATCCCAAATTTTCTCTATATCCCATTTCCCAGCCCTTTTTTAGATCAAACTCCAGTTCCACTGTGAAAATTGAAAGAAAACTCAGAGCAGGTGGTTCATCTATGTGACGACTTTTAAACACAATTCTGCGTTCAATTGACCACTTGCATTATAGACTAAATTTTGATCTAGACAAAAATTTCATCACAGCTTGAAAGAGCATCACAAAATTAGTAATATTCCAAAGTTTCGCTGCGAAATGTTGTAAAATGCGGATAATATAGCCTTGCAAAGTTTGCAATTTTCAGTCATTTTAAATTACAAACGGGAAATTGACAGCCCAATACCCTTTGGGGCTGTCAATTTCCCGTTTGTAATCTAAAATGACTGAAAATTGCAAACTTCGCAAGGCTATATTATCCGCATTTTACAACATTTCGCAACGAAACTTTGGAATATTACTAATTTTGTGATCATGCTCTTTCAAAGCTGTGATGAAATGTTTGTCTAGACTTGTTTAGATAAAAATTTAGTCTATCACGCAAATGGTCAATTGCCCTCTTTAGAACTAGTTTTACCGAGAAAAAAAGTATGCGACTGACTTACAATAGCGGAAAAATGACCTCAAAAATGTCGGTTAAATTCAGTTTTCCTGGACTTTTTAGACAAATTTTCTACAAAAATTGCTCTGTAGCTGTTCGTAAAGTTATTTCACTCTCAAATCCCAATCCAAAAGTACGCAAATCTCAGTTTCCTTTTACCCCTTCAGGATCCTTAAATCAGTCTCAACTTAACGTTAACATCACAACTCTACGCGCGAAAAATTCAATGGCGATGCTCAGAGGAGGAATGAGGGTCTTCCCGAAATGCAACGCGCGAATCAGTGCGGCTCATTATTATTCAAGCTATTTATTCTCAACACGCCGTTCGATTAAAAACTGTTGAAATATATTGCGATTTTTGCTGTGAAGATCTCGTTTTTTCAAAGGTATGTTTTGATAACCTTTTTGTTTAGTAATTTAATAAAAGAAGTGTTGAATAATTTTGTATATATATCGCATTTTACTTATGTTAAATTCCCATTGTATTTATGCATGTTTTGGGTGTTGAAAAAGTGGCATTGAAATATTCTGGAGTAAATTGTACTTTTTTACAAGTAAACTAAAATAAAATTACATCAGTGAATTCAGGAATGTTTACTCTTTATATTGATACTTTAAAACATGAATTTACTCCATAAAACCGAAGAGTTATCGCGGTTTGAAAATGAGCTATTTTTGCTATATTCGATAATTAGCAAAAATAGCTCATTTTCAAACCGCGATAACTCTTCGGTTTTATGGAGTAAATTCATGTTTTAAAGTATCAATATAAAGAGTAAACATTCCTGAATTCACTGATGTAATTTTATTTTAGTTTCCTTGTAAAAAAGTACAATTTACTCCAGAATATTTCAATGCCACTTTTTCAACACCCAAAACATGCATAAATACAATGGGAATTTAACATAAGTAAAATGCGATATATATACAAAATTATTCAAAACTTCTTTTATTAAATTACTAAACAAAAAGGTTATCAAAACATACCTTTGAGAAAACGAGATCTTCACAGCAAAAATCGCAATATATTTCAACAGTTTTTAATCGAACGGCGTGTTGAGAATAAATAGCTTGAATAATAATGAGCCGCACTGATTCGCGCGTTGCATTTCGGGAAGACCCTCATTCCTCCTCTGGGCGATGCTTATATATGCTTAGAAGTCCAGGTTTTGCAGTTTTAAGTTTGCAAAAAAAAACTTAACTGAATTAGCGCTAGCTGTATATCGAAACTGCATGTGGTACATTAACATAGATCTTTGACATGGTTTCGACTGTGGCACATAAATAGAAGCTAAGTATAATAATACTGCTATCCAATGAATCAGTGATCGGATTGTTCCATTGTCACAGAACAGATACTAGACCAGAGGTGCCACTCTCTATGTGTTTTGGCTTGGGAAAAACGTCCGAAATTTTTACGTGCTATGACGCCATCCTGGAGTGCAACGGCACTTTGTACCTATGTCTGTACCCATGAAAAACTTCCGTGTGTACTCCAGGATGGCGTCATATATGGCGTATTTGGCACGTCAGCACGTAAAATTTTGGACGAAATATCGTCTGAGGGACACTTCTGATCTAGTATCTATTCAGTGCCATTGTCTTTTCATTGTTTTGAATTATCCATATCGGTCATAAATTCAAAAAATCGGTATCGGTATTTTTGTTGCCAATATTATTGGTATTTGTATTATAACTTTATAAAATATATTTTAAATTTAAAAATACTTTGGACTTCAATTTATTGCAACACAACTATGTGACCAGAATGTATCAATATAAATTCAACATAAAGTCATATTCAAAGATGTTATCAATGTATATGGTAAAGCCTGGTTCACATATGCCTGCGACTGTATCATTATGCCTCTACTTGCCGCCGAAATACCGGCAAAGTTGAACTCGAGTCAACTTTCCCGGCCTACCGCCGATGTAACTGTGGCACTGGAGGCAATTCACATAATTCACGTTTTAAGCTACCACCGGCATCGTCGCCGGTACGTCGCAGGCATATATGTGAACCAGGCTTAAGTGTTAATGCATGACGAATGACGCCACAACCCAATAGGTCCTTGGCAAAAATGGTATAAACTATTGTAGGTCAAAACAACGATTGATTGGATGGCATGGAGAACATTTGGATTTTCAAAACTAGTTATACACGGATATGGAAATTTATTTTATTATTATTATTACTATCATTATCATTAAAACCCTCTGGCAAATAATTGAATAACAGGGTAATAAAGTACATCAATTTAGGTTACGATAAAATAGCTTAATTAAAATGTCTATAAAGGTAAAAAATTAAATTGTATACTATTACCTTTACATATTTATTAATTTATATTTAATTTATATTTACTTTAATTTATAATATAATTTATATTTACATATTTATTCATTTACCGATATTCCTATAACCGATACTCAATGGATTATTCCGATGCCGATATTCTATTTCACTTCTGCCAATTGGATTTAGAAAATTCGTCACAACTATATTAATCAAAGTTGATTACCTCGATCAAGCCGTTGAAAACCATCAGGCATGACACTATGATCAATTCTTGGCAACATCAGAGCGCCAACGGCCATTGCCTTCAGGATCCGTAATACGGCGGAGAAGAAACCCATGGGAAGTCCAATGAAAAACCAAAAATACGAGATCACCATGTATGCGTTTCTGGGGGAACAAATCAAACTTTAAGAGATTGTTCGTAGCGTTTCACTTTTTGAAAGAGGGATTCGATTTCTGCAATATGCTGATTGTACATCAGTTTCCTCCTGTAATAACACTGCATGGATCAATGTAGGATGGTCTATACTGGACCTCTAGGGAAAATAGTTTAGAACTGATGAAGTTAAGGTTATTAGGTATAAGGTAGTTTAGTTTAAGTTTCCTCCGGTAACAACAATGAACCAATAGTTCCAACCAACAGTATAACGTTAGTTTAGAACCAACAGTATAACGTTAGTTTAGGATTCCTCCGAAAGTAGCATAAGACTCAGTATGACTTTACTGGACCTCTAGGGAGAACAGTTTAAAACTGATACAACTATCAAGTATAAAAGTTTTGGATCTTTCTGAAGTAGCACTCAACCAGTTTGGCATGATCGTTAGGGAAAACAGATCAAAAGTGTTCAAGTGATAAAGCTATCCAATACAACGTTAGTTTAGTTTAGTTTAGCATCACTCCGAAACTGAAAGTGGCACAATACCAATATGGTATGATCCTTACTGGACCTCTAAGGGAAAGAGTTTGGACTTTTGGGTTTAACTATAAAGTTACTTCAGGACTCCACCTGAAGTAACATTCAATTCAATTCAATTCAATTTAGTCAGAGGCGCCGGGGAATCGATAATAGCTGGGGCAGATATTCATATATTCGTGTTCAGACTGTAAAAACAATCGATTTCAAAAGAAATTAATTAGGCAGAACACGAATATATGAATATCTGCCCCCCCCCCCATTATCGATATTCCGGCGCCTCTGAATTTAGTGTGATACTGTTAATTGTTTCAAATTCACAACACATCGTTTAAAAGCGAATCATGTGTACGTACACAAACCAAACATACAGTATTAAATAGAAATATCTACCCATTTTTATTTAATGAAATTAGACACACCTGTTATTTATAGATATAACGTCTTTAGAGTAACTGTTATCTCGGAATATCACCGTAATTATGCGCAAGGACAACCAAGAAAAAATAGCCACAATCAAGTAAACACTAAAATATTGAACAGAATTATTAGCGATGGGAGCCGCCAGTTCAGGAAGAAAATGACTTCCTAACATAGCTGGACTGAAAATATACTGTACCAACAAACGAAAATGAAAAACGAGAAGAAAAACGAGAATGAATATATAGGGATCCAAGGATAGTGGTGCAAAGTTTCGAATTGAGAAAGACAATGCAAGTGTATAGGGGCAGAAAGTGGAAAACGCGGAGTCTCATTAAAAAAGAATCTAGGAAAAATAAACTGTTTTGAAAGACTCCGTATTCCGCACTCCATACTCCGTCTTTTCCACCAAGTCCTCTGAACCCTATAATCATTTCTATACTTAGAGAGCCAAACACGCACGCGAGCCACGCACGTGCTGTATCAGGTTTCAATTCAGCACATAGTATTACAGGCTTTTGTATAATCTGTAGTCTGAGTATAGCCATCTATTCAGTGGTGTACTGTCACGGAATAGAAAATGGAGCAGAAGTCTCACTGTACACCTTTCCTTAACATTTTCGTGTCCGCGATTTTTGCCTTGCGAATCACGAATTTCGCACGCTAGATGACGTGCGTGACACTTGCTGCGAACATCACGTCAGCGTTCGTCAGCAAAACGGTTAAAACAGCAATCTTTATTACCTGGTGATGGCAATTGATGGCGTAGTTGCTCGCGTTTGATGGCGTCGTGATTACACTTGCTGGCTCGCGCCTGCGCATAAAAATCACGGACATAATTTTGGCGCAGTGAGACCTCTGGTTCTATTTTCTATTCTGTGGTACTGTAGCATTTTATACAGTCGCACCTTATATTAATATTAGGGAGCTTTAGATTTGACTACGAGTACGGGATTCGTCAAGCGAAACGCATGCTGTATGCTTACGCCATCCCATGGCCATACCGACTCGAAAAAGTCGTAGCCGTCGCCAATCTGAGTACGAAATTGTGGAGAAATCTCGTAGTCTTCACGACCGACTTTTCAAAAGTACTTAATTAAATGCTCGTAATGCATAAAATCAATTTATATATTGGGTAGAATCTCAAAGATTTTCTCATAATACTGTCAACCTCAGTTGTATAAATACACTCTTGTCTACACGATTTCACACCGCCGCTCAATAGTCACCGCTCGTCCATGCCTGCCATTGTAAAATGATATTATATGAGAACGCGTGTATTTATTCATTTGTTTTATTGTTTCATGTTGAAGTTGATACCGCCTGACCTCCCCCCCCCCTTATACATATTTTGGAATATTTGTCGGTAAATACACTGCACCCTCATCCTGCTTAAAGCTCTTCGCAACAGCCCTGGTCATTGGTTAATATCAGCCTCCTGTTCAGTGGAGGGCATTTAAACAAAAGAATCACATTAGAACCTCATTAGAAGGTCTCGTGAGATGACGAACCTCATTACTCATTAGAAGGTCTCGTGCTTGCAAAACCAACCTATTGCTTGCCTTATCATACAGCTATTTCAACTACTTTGCTATTTTGCTACTATGAAAGCTTTTCTTGTTGTCTGGAATTCCCCTAAAGTTTTTTTTAAAAAATGGGAAGAGGTGCTCTTTAACAGGCTGTTGTTGAACAAAAAATTACAGAAAAAAGCTTATCGTACATATTAACGTATCACTTACCTTACGCATATAACACTGAGCTAGTATCACTTACCCTCCTCTTTTCATGTAGTTCACAACCAAATCTTGAACGGGATCAAGTGACAATAAGTAAATAACAAAAAAAGTAAAAGATAACAGCAACAACACCAATATGTAGCCTAGGACGAAAAATACGGAAAAAACTTGCTAAACTTTAAAAATAGGGTAAGAAGGGTAGGGGTGTCAACTTCAAGATGGCCATTTATTTCACTCAAACAAGTATAGAGATTTGCCGTATAATCTGGATAAATATCAAGACTTCAGGCATCACGCTCGATAGAATTTCCGTTCGAAATTTCCATTTCCAAAACCCTTCAACTGTTAGTTCTATTTAGAGCGCTGAACCAAAGTCGCACGGCAGCAGATTCGATTCCTACCAGACGACCTATAGTTGCATTTTTCACATTTCTACGAAACAGCGGTCGCCAGACAATAGGGAGTTTAAGATGCCGACAACGAACAACGGGTACGGAGTACGGTTGAAAGCTTGTTTTTGCATTGCTTTAACAAAGGCAGACAAAATTTACATATCCCCAGAGCATACTTTTCACCGTAGCGACCTTGGCTACAGCGTAAAAATCACATTCTTGTGTTGTAAAACAGAATCAAGAACCTAGCAACGAAACCAACTACGCGACGTTGCAGGTTGGAGAGCATTTTTATAAAGAAATGATGAAAATTAAAAGATGAAACTTGCCGAACACAAAGCCATGCACATAAAACATATTTGGGATAAATTTGTTATGACAAGCATTTAGTATTTGCATACATACAACAAAATTTATTTCAAACGTTGTCGGTAGTTCGTCGTCAAGATCTTAAACTCCCTAATATTATATATACAACAGAGAACAATTTACAGTCCTGCAAAACATTTTCTCTAAATCTCGTTTTAAACAATTTCTCAGATCCTAATGCAAAAAAAAATAAGTGAAAATATTTTCAGTTTGTGGTTCTAATAAAACTTCCAATACTATTCTATAATAAATTTTTACCGAATAGGCACCGTTATATGCGCATTAATTCCTGGAACAAGAAATACTTACCCCACAAAAAGTAGCCGATCTGATAACTATGATATCTTAGTCCTTTTCCCTAACGAAGTGGAATACACCAAAGTGGTTATTTTGAAGTGGTTACTGTATAATTAATCTATACAGGGGCTATGTTTGGTCTAAACATTAGGGCGGTGTGGGTTCGTTTTGCCTAACGAAAGAAAGTTGATGTGGATCCCCAGAAGTAATACAAAGACACAAGTATCGAGTGCCAAAGGCGCGAGACATCTTGGGAGGGGGTTAGGGTGGGGAGGGGATGGGGTGGGGTAAAAGGGTATGCAAAAAGTGACTAATTAAACTATCTATTTATCTATGTTCCTCCCTTGAATGTTACTTAAGGGCGAGGGTGAGTGAGCTTTTAGAACACAGGCGTAAGTCAAGTCGCAAGTAGGGAGTCACCCATGACAAATTATATATTAAAATACTATAGCTCGCAGTCATAATGCGATATGCCAATGTAGCTGCACTGGTCAATGTGCATCGATGAATTTCCAGTGCAAGCTGTGGAAAAGTTAATTTTCACTAGATATTTACGACTTTACGTTTGACTTGATAACAAGTCATTTCTCGCAAGTACAAGTCAAGTCATAAGTCATTTTGTTCAAGTCCAGTTCAAGTCACAAATTGTTAATTAACCTGAGTATCAGGCTCTATTTTACAAATAGAGCCTGACACAAAACTTAACGTGATCGCTTTCCGCCCACAGCAAAGTTTATATTTAGTATCCAATCAAAATGTCGCAGGAGAAATTTAAATTTCACACAACGACAACAACAATCTAATTATAGCATAGGCAGCCCACTAAACGGCTGAATTTAAACGGAGGGTTTAAACTGCAGGTGTGCAGGTGCAGGTGTGCAGGTTGCAGGTGCAGGTGTGCAGGTTGCAGGTGTGATATTCTAGTACAAGATCAAAACTTGACATTCATGAAAAAAGTGTGAAGCACGCGTAAAATTTTATCTTAACTAAGTTTGAATTCTCTTTTATAATTGATTTTGTCACTCTTTGCGAGAAACGTCCGCCATATTTAATTCTTATCTCAAAAACACCTGATATCCCATATTATCAATAGTTTTCCCCATACCGCCAAAACATGTGATCACAGAGTAGGTACTATGTAACTACTATGTACCTACTATGTTCCTACTATGTACCTACTATTTTCCTACTATGTTCCTACTATGTTCCTACTATGTACCTACTATGTACCTACTATGTACCTACTATGTACCTACTATGTACCTACTGTATATCAGTGGTACCTACTCTGTGATCACATGTTTTGGCGGTATGGGGGAAAACTATTGATAATATGGGATATCAGGTGTTTTTGAGCTAAGAATTAAATATGGCGGACGTTTCTCGCAAAGAGTGACAAAATCAATTATAAAAGAGAATTCAAACTTAGCTAAGATAAAATATTATGCGTGCTTCACTTTTTCATGAATGTCAAGTTTTGATCTTGTACTAGAATATCACACCTGCACACCTGCAACCTGCACACTTGCAACCTGCACCCATTGACCTGCACACCTGCAACCTGCACACCTGCAACCTGCAGTTTAAACCCTCCGGCCACATAATAAATTATATATTTATTTGCAGTGGAAATATAATCAACAATTACACTGATCCCCGAGCCGGTGGTGCAAAGCGCCGTGCGAGGCTACTAATTCTGCATGGCTAATTATACCCGGGTATGTGAAAACATAGCGGAGTGCAAAGTTGTCCTCCATTTTGTTTATGTCATGGACGGTTTCCGATGTTATGCAGATGCACAAATACAAACTCTGTCGAAGTAATTGTTTTTAATTTTGAAAGGATGTATTTTGCTGTTTTACAGCAACGTTTTGTTTTAAATTTCGTTGAAAAGTTTACACAAGTACAACACCGTTTTTTCCCCTCGATTTTAACTGGAAATAAGCCCGCAGTTTCATGAGTTAGTGGCTGTTCAACCACGAAACAAAGTTTGTATAGTAATTCTTTTAATGTCGATGTCTTTGATCATTTAATTGTTGTTGTGCTGGTTTGGGTAAGTGTGAACATTTCAGTAGTAAAATTCCATTGCAGTGAATGTTATTGTTCATTGTAATTATTTATAACGGAGGGTTTAAACTGCAGGTTGCAGGTGTGCAGGTGCAGGTTGCAGGTGTGCAGGTCAATGGGTGCAGGTTGCAGGTGTGCAGGTTGCAGGTGTGCAGGTGTGATATTCTAGTACAAGATCAAAACTTGACATTCATGAAAAAGTGAAGCACGCATAATATTTTATCTTAGCTAAGTTTGAATTCTCTTTTTTAATTGATTTTGTCACTCTTTGCGAGAAACGTCCGCCATATTTAATTCTTAGCTCAAAAACACCTGATATCCCATATTATCAATAGTTTTCCCCCATACCGCCAAAACATGTGATCACAGAGTAGGTACCACTGATATACAGTAGGTACGTAGTAGGTACATAGTAGGTACATAGTAGGAACATAGTAGGAACATAGTAGGAAAATAGTAGGTACATAGTAGGAACATAGTAGGTACATTGTAGTTACATAGTACCTACTCTGTGATCACATGTTTTGGCGGTATGGGGAAAACTATTGATAATATGGGATATCAGGTGTTTTTGAGATAAGAATTAAATATGGCCGACGTTTCTCGCAAAGAGTGACAAAATCAATTATAAAAGAGAATTCAAACTTAGTTAAGATAAAATTTTACGCGTGCTTCACACTTTTTTCATGAATGTCAAGTTTTGATCTTGTACTAGAATATCACACCTGCAACCTGCACACCTGCACCTGCAACCTGCACACCTGCAACCTGCACCTGCACACCTGCAACCTGCAGTTTAAACCCTCCGAACCCTCCGAATTGACAGGTACCAATGACCTAATTTGACCTTGATACTGTTGATAGTTTAAATGTTTACAGTGCAAAGGTCTATTTCGGCACTAATTATAGGACACTAAAAGGCTATATGCGAAGCACTATGGTTGTATTACTCCTTTTTCCCTTCACGTATGGAACATAACGATTGCAAAAGATATATATTTTATTACTAACAAAATGTGAACTATATAAACTCTCGTTTTACATGTGCTCGAAGCAACTGTTAATCTATATATCGTCCCGCGAGTGTCCCACGCGTGATTCTTGCGTAATCATACAACTAAGGGCAGGGGCCCTACACTTTCCCCCTGGAAAGAAATGTCAAACACGACATTGATTCGATGAATCATGAAATCTCCAACAATTACAAATCTCACAAACTTATCCAACACGAGATGCTGCAGTCATTTCGGGCAAGAGTCAGTTCGTTTCTTATTACTCGTTCCACTATCGTATGTTTTCAAAAACATCGTTTCAAATTTCAAAACTAACATGCACTTAAAGTTTCTTTCGAAGATCACGATCTTCAGTTCAATACAACGTTAACGTACTTATCTAATTAAAGAACATTGTTCCACAGTACGGACAATGAGGTCCGAGGTATGCGAAGGGATTATAAGGTAGGGGGGTTGGCTGCCACATATAAGGAATGGAATTCATTGGTGGGAAAGGCATCACTCCTGGTTGACTAGGCTCTACAAAACCGAAAATAGTGTTCATACTACCAGGGTATGAAATGCCTGTGACTGGGTTACCTGGTGTCCAATAATTTAGTCTTGGTGGTGGGTTTCTGTTTCTGCTAGGTCTGGTATTTTCCATAGGTGGTGGTGGAATAGACGCATTTTCCGTTGCTGGCGGTGGAATGGTTGGTTGTTGTTCATCAAGGGCCAATACATCTGGGTTCCCGACCGCTGGTAACTCTGAGTTGTCTATCTCATCATGTCCG